TTTTCATATTTGTAGTTTCTGGTCACAGTTTTACCTTTGGTGATTTTGATTGTCTCATTGGTATCTTCTTTTTTATTTGGTCATGAAAGTATTATATTGCAATATAATACTTCCATGGTTTGATGTAAGTTTTGCCACAAAAACGAATGAGTTCCATTAATAATGACTGTATAGTATAAGAGCAAGTCAGCAGAACAGAACTGATAATTATTTCCGTACTCCATGTATACCTTACAACAAAATCATTTTTATTTACCTGTGTACGTTATTTTATTTGGCGGCATTTTGTCCAAGGTTATGGTTGTCTTTCTGATATTGTTTTATATCTAACCCCCTTGTTTTATTAGTTTTGTATTTACATTGTGTCATAGATCAAAATTTATTCCTTCAGTGTATGTTCACTTGTTTTTGTTAATATGTCTTTTGATTGAGTTAAGCCATTTCAATTGATATTTTATAGTGTGTCTTTCTATGTTGTGATGTTAAACTATTGTTTCAGGTAGGGTGAAGGTTGGCGCTTATTAAAACGTTTAAACCCGCTGCATTTGTTTGCACCTGTCCTAAGTCAGGAACCTGATGTTCAGTGGTTGTCGTTTGTTGATGTGGTTCATAAGTGTGTCTCGTTTCTCGTTTTTTATATAGATTACACCGTTGGTTTTTGTGTTTGAATAGTTTTACACTAGTCATTTTTGTTGCCCTTAATAGCTTGCTGATCGGTGTGAGCCAAGGCTCCGTGTTGAAGGCCATACTTTGACCTTTAATGGTTTACTTTTACAAATTGTGACTTGGATGGAGAGTTGTCTCATTGGCACGCATGCCACATCTTCTTATATCTAGTAAGTAAACGTTTATAATTGATGACAATATAATTCGTAATTACAAACATTCTTGTGTCATCTAGGAATAATAAAACATATATGTTACAGGGATTTTTTAAATTTAGGCATTTTCTAAAATGACTGAATTTTCAGGCAATTTACAAAATGCCTAACCTTGTATTTGTATTTCAGCTTGGACTTACTTTGTATTTCAGTTAGTAATATTATGATCTTCTTGTGATGGTGACAGAAAGACAAATTAGTCTTACAAAAACGAAATTTACAAACGATCTTTTGGAAAATATAGATTCAAAACAAAAGAGTGAAATATGAAACAAAGAAAAAGAAGGATGTTGTTTGTTTGACGATTGTTGTATGTTTGCGTTCAGTAGCAAATATTTCATGCTTATTTAGGACGAGCACAAATTGATCATAAATCAAAAAGGTAAGTTCTGCGATGAATTGATCGGATAAAGGACAAGAATTTGTTGACTGCCGCTTGAAAAGAAGGTATGTTGGATAGGGTAAGTTGAAACCTTCCAAACAGGCCACATTTGAAGAAGAGTTTGGCACTTTTCTTACATAAGGCATCATATTACAAAATGCTCCCATTCAGAAAGAATGCAAATTTATATGCTGCACGGCAAAACGAATTTCCCTGTAAAGCATAGGTTTCACAATACTATGTCGTGCTTGGTTGTGGAGTAAAGATACGAGTATCTTCATCGTCACTATTTAATGCACTAACCAAAGGACATGCTTAGGTCTTTACAATCTGGTGAATTAAGAGTACAGTAGTTTCCTGATGATAAAATTAAAAAAATCAATCACGAAGAGGCAATATAAATAAGAAAATGTGGTATGAGTGCTAATAAGACAACTATCCATCCAAGTCACAATGTGTAAAAAGTAAACAAGTACGGCCTTCAACACGGAGCCTTCGCTCACACCGAACAGCAAGCCCAGGTGAATCGAAAGGTTGAGCTGTCCTTTCTATACATGCATCACCTACTATGCGAATAACTGATTCAGTCTGGTGAATGCTCTAATAAACCAAAAGATGTAAGTCAACCTAATCATGCTAATAATGTATACTTGGAATCTTACGGAAACACATGAAAAAGAAGGTATTTATGTGAGTGCTGTTTGCGAAACCTCAATGAGTCATGTTTTCAAACGTTGTTAAGTGTTGACAGAGCTGCAGGTGTCATTGTCCAAGTTTCACCAAATGACCAGCTTTAACGCCATTTGCCAAAAAAAAAATTAGGACATATATGTGCAACGGAACATGCCATCCAATTATTTTATGAAATAACAAATAATTGTCAAGTTCAGTAATTTATTTTTGATAATTAAATCTCTTTAAATGCTAGCATGAAAATACACTTATGCCAATGAGACAACTCTCCACAATTAAGAGACCAAATGACACAGAAATTAACACTATATGTCACCGTACGGCCTTCAACAATGAGCAAAGCCACTACCGCATAGTCAGCTATAAAAGGTCCCGAAATGACAAATGTAAAACAATTCAAACGAACTAAAAACAAATATGATATACAGTAACAAACGACAACCACTGAATTACATGCAGGCTCCTGACTTGGGACAGGCACATACAGAATGTGGCGGGGTTAAACGCCTGTAACATATATATATATACTGGGAACCTTGCGATGTTTAGTAGATCTAATGCATCGTCAATGTATCATTGAGTCGTAATCTCAAAGTTAAAATTGGTGTCTCATATAAAGTCCCGATATCAGTATAGTACCCGCGTCAAACTACAACATTGTAGGCTTGTAAGCTAGTACAAACACGGTTCGTCTTCCGAAAAATCCAATTATGATACAACAGGACTATACAGACCTATAACTAAGTTCATTTCCGTCATATCAATAAACATCTAACTACAACGTCAAAGTCGACACACACAAGACAGTGTCGTGCGTTGTGTTTCATTTGCATAACCAGCAGTCCAGAACTACGAGTCAATGACTCAAATTGTTTCAAGCAAGAGATCAAATTTTCTATGAGAATACGTCAAGTCGAGTCTGCTGTGTCCAGTCGTGCTTTAATGTGATCACATGAAACGGGAAAACCAACTAGCCATGGTAAAATACCACACAACTAAAAAGAGTTTGAAGATACTACGGGGACATTTTAAACTCATAAATCGAGAGGAACTGACAATACTAAGGCGAAACACAACGAAAATACAAACAAGTTTACAAAACACTACATAGAAGACTTAAGATTGAGCAAAACGAACCCGATCAATAAAAAAAACTTGGGGTAATATCAGGAGCTCCGGAATGGTAAGCATATCCTGCTCCACTAGTGACGCCCGTCGAGTTGCTCATGGTAAATATAAATTTGATGATGAATTGGAAATATGATTATGGTCAACCTATACTCCGTTAAACTTTCGAAGGGATGACTGCAACTTTACCAATTTGAACCCGTTCAATAGCTTCCTCGTAAGCAGCAACCCTCTATCAAAGAAATCATGATAGGATACGCAAACTCTGGAATATCGTATCATCAGGGTGATATATAAACTCCATATACAAGCGCTGCTAGGATGTTGCATAATGAAAATGGAGTTTGAAGTCACAATTTGAAAGCTGAACTCATTCCTTTTGTTGTAATGTTTTGTTTTCAAACGACCCTCATTGTCAACTTCTAGATTTAAGTCAAGATATTAGACTGACTTACCTGTATCCGTGTTATCCTTTTTTATCAAGTTCGATGTGATAGATGCGTCAGTCAACACTCATCAACCGGCTTTTGAACGATTAAGTAAGAGGACATCACCTATATAGCGGAACGTGATGTGAAATGGTAATGCTAGCTTCTTTTCATTCTTCCTGAAGTCTACCTCATATGAATACAGGATCAACTTGGCTAGAAGAGGAGCGCAGTTTGTTCCCATAGTAATGCCGATTCTTTGTTGAAAACGCGTCTTCCAAACATTACAAAAACTTGTCATTTTGAAATCAAACATATAAAATTTTCTTGATCCCCCCATAATATTTCACTATTTTTATTTACCCCCTCTATTAAACATGCCAAAATTTTAACATGCAAAACACTTACCTTTGACACACATGATATGTAGGATATACTTGAAAATTCAAAAGTTCACAAATGTTTCATTAGAGATAAAATTGATCCCACTTTGAATTTAAAAAAAAACTTGAAACCCCCCTTTTCCACTTACAGAAAAAAAAGATCCCCCTACATTTTGACCAGAACCCTCCCAGGTAAAAAATGATAAGTCCCGAATATGTCTAATACAACTTTTTAATAACTTGTTTATTTCATTTGGACAGAATCAAGACATCTTTCATATAAATATTACTGTATACAGCTATACTTTTCTCAGAAAATCATATATCATCATGTAATGATAGGTCGTATATTTCTGCTAGAGTTATTTCCCGTGCAAAATAAATTTTGAGACGTAAATGCAGAGGGTGGACGTTTTATAACGGGAACAGCCTTGTTAAATATTGCAAATAGAATTTTATCTCTTAAAACTGCTCCAATTTTGCTTTGTTCGAAAATTCTGACATTTTACTTTATCTTCGTTAGTTTAACTTTAGTTTAAAATTTTCAAAGTCAATAAACTGCTACATGCGATCTATGCACCAATACTGTCAAGGAAAAAATGAAAACAGATACATTTGCATGCTCAATAATATCAGATTTTCCCGTCTGATTGACGTCAATAGAAAGCCTTCAGGCAATCAAATGCTGTTCTGTTCATCTCCCCAGAGTAAAGGTCAAATTTTTGTTTTTACAATATATAACCCATAGAAACGCCTCGAATATATAAGAAAAGATGTTATTCGGATTTTGAAGTCGGATTTGAATTACATTTGGTGCAAAATCAAGCCACTCCATCGTGAAATTGTCATTTTTTGTAACGACACGTGGGAGGTAAAGCGATCAGCTAATTGAACAAGCCGTGTTGAAAAGAAATGCCTCGGACGCTTCACAACTCAATATTAGTATATCTGCGCTCAGTGGACAATTTACGTAAAAGAATTCCCGAATTTGATAGAAGTCATGCTCCGTGTTCAAATTGTATATTTTGACACAGGAAATGATTGTTATTGTTTTTAAAGTATACATAGCACCCATAACCCATAATTTCACGATCCCTATAGAGGCGTATGAATCGCTATTCTCGTCCGATATTCCCGCTTATTGAAGAGAACAACATAATACACTGTTTGATAAGACCATGCTGCCATCTGACTAAGATTTACCCTATTGCAATCTGCCTCAGTTCGATACATGCGTGTTTATTGACAATCTAAGGACGCACCGCAATTCAAGAAAAGTATCCCGAAACATGTGAGTTGATTATTCATAGGTGTCACGGTCAATTTCTCGCTCTAGAAGGGTGGGTAAATAGAATAATGCTGAAGAAACTCTTCTGTGTATACAACAAAGACAGGAAACTGAAGCAACTGGAGTCGACCGGAGGGTCAGGAACTTTTCGGTAAGTGAAGTATGGAAAATGCTGGCCCTGGTAAAGGGCATAATAGACAAGTAAAGAGCAAAAAGCTCAAATCACCGAAGAATTTACGGGGAAACACAATGGACTCGTTTCAAGATGGAGGCCAACAAAACATGAGCAATGAACAAGGCGAATATTTTAATCAAATTGAAGGGCCTAACATGAACGTTGATATGAATAATTATCCCCCATCACCTAGGGAACAGATGATGGGGGTTGACAACTACGGAAGAATGAACCCAATGATGCATCCAGGGCAAATGCAAGGGTACAATCCGTATAATCGTGAAAACTTTAACCCAGGCGATCAACATGGCGGAATGGCAGGAAGTTCAGAAATTATTAATCAAAATACTTTTCAGGCTCAGTATATGCAGCCTGGAATGAAGAGTGGACATCCAGGCAAACCGAACATGATACCTATGAGGCCACAGATGGGCCCTGGTGGTCCAGGAATGCCACAATCCTATCCACAAGGGCAAAGATCAATGTTGTCAGGACAAAGCATTTCACAGCAGTCTGGACCAACACCAACACTAAATCAGCTTCTGCAGACACCAAACACGCCAGGGAGAATGCAGGGAAATAATTATGGTGAATATCACCAGAAAGTGCCACCCGAGATGACAGCGCAGGGAACACCATACAACATGCAGCAAGGTTGGGCTGGAAATAGACAACCAGCTAGTTTTCCACCAGGTCCAGGGACTCCTTACAGGGGTCAGGTAAGTTGTTTTTTTATCTACTTTCACTTTGACTAAAGGAAGTCATTAACTGCCATGTGACATTAATCTATTGATCATGTTTGTATTGCCCGCCAGAGTTGTAAATAATCTTATCAATCTAGTTACATAATTACTTTTTCTTCCAAGTGGTTATTGATAAGCTATACTCAATTATTAAAACATAAATTGAGAGAAATATTGCATTCATTATTACTAGGATTTATTGGTAATGCATTTTTATCACATGAATGAAAAATCAATTTTGAATTTGGAGGCAAGACTATTGTGACCTTTGTCTGATTGGCTGGGAAGCCCATAAAGCAATCAATTAATCTCAGTCCTGGGATAATCTATTTTCATTTGTGTAGATAATAAAAGCATAGATGTTGGAAATCCCCTAAATTATTGAATGACATCCAAGAAAATGAAAGTAAATTTATTATTGACAGATGCTTTGTAATTGTTTACCTTTCTGTATGCATGAGTAATTTTATGGAATTTGATATTTCATGCAATAAAATATTATTGATTTTGATATAAGAATTTAAAATGATTCAAAATTTACTGTGACATATATGTTTAGAAATTGAATTAGTATTTACATCTACCTTTGCGTTTTTTTATTGTTTGTATTATGGATATTTTAAGAGTTTGGTGCTTGTTTTGAACTCATTTTTACTAAACATTATCTTCTGTGCATCTTTTTACATATAGATTCTATTTGCCTGTAGTCGAAATTCACACACACCTGATCGCATGTTTACAAGCCTAGACTGTTGGGTCTGTGGCCAAGTGTAAAGATTGATAGAACAAATTTAAATCTAGTATATATAGTGTTCTGCCCAGAATTTTTAAATTAGGAGTGATTTTCCCTTAATGGACAAATTTTTCTTGCAAATCCTGTGTAAAAGGGTGATTGTTAAAGTTCTTAAACACTACTCTTGATGAAATAAATAATACAAGATATTATGATCAGGGGTCGCAACACCAGTGTATTGAGTGAAAAATTCTCCATCCAAATGCACATGATTCCGATATTTGACGAAATAAACATGTAATCATCTGAATTCAGTCTTGAAATGTGCAGTCATTTACTCTTAAATTAATATAGCCAGGCAACGGATTAGAGTACTACTCAAATGCTAAAGACCGCCTCAGTGGTAGCGTGTGCGCCTCTAGTGCGGGAGGTTGTTGGTTCGAACCCTGGCCCAGTTAAACCAAAAACTTTAAAATTGGTATTTGCTGCTTCTCCACTAAGCACACAGCATTAAGGAGTAAGAGCAAAGACTGGCTAGAAGTCAGATTAATGTGTCTGGGTAAGGTGTCTATCTGCAGACTGTTACCATGTGAACTAGCATGTTAAAAGCCTGGCTAAAACAGGGGTCTTACTAAGGCGAGTCCATGAGTCCTGGACTCATGAAAATCTGTCTGGACTCACCATTTTCAAAACTGGTGAGTCCAAAGATGTATCAAGATTAAAATATTTTGTATAAACTGAACACACATCATCATTTTATCGCAAAAGTTTAATAGAAATCTGAATTTAATGTCATTTCATTGCTCTATTAGGTCATGAAGACTAAGATGATAAATTATATTGCAATAAAATATCTTCTTCTTACTGTTGGACTCACCATGGCCAAAAATCCTCAGTGAGAACCCTGCTAAAAGTGTCGGTCTAGTACAAAGCAGGTTTAGTATTCATATTACATTAACATATTCTCGTCCTGAATATGCATATTAATTTGCTGCTGGACGTTAAGCAGCCATCCATCATCATCAAATGTTAAAGCAAGAAATAAGAGAAAAATTTGATTTTGCTGTGTTTGTTTAAATTCCACCATGTCTGTTAATGTTTTAAAGGGCGCCCTTAATTCAAAACTCTCATTCTGGTTACAAGGTTCGAACTAGGTATCATTGATAATTGTCTTTCTGACTTTCATTACCAAGGACTATACGAACATTGGCAAGATGGTTTAAAATGAAAAATTAAGATATTTGTACATCCAAGACTATTTAAAACACAATTGATTCTTCACGCTCAATAATTCATTTGGTTGTATATATATTAGCCAACAATTGCCTTAATCTTGGTTGTACAAAATGTCTAACAGCTATGATTGAATATACTGTGAACAATTACAGAATCAACTGGTAACCTATTGATAAAATTTTAAGTTATATTTAACTTTCGTTTACTTGTCGGATGCCTAAATATAGATGTGAATGTGGATACAATCAAATCCAACTATTGAAGAATAAATTAAACAAAATATGACATTATTTTTCAGACTTCTTTAAAAACTGTCGGTCCTGACTGCCAAAATTTCACCAGGTCAGCTTTTTTCAAGTGTGAGCCTGTCCGATTTTCTGATAGAGAAAAAATGGTTTCCAGCTTAACCTTTCTTTATTGTGGTCAAAAATCATAAATTTAGAACCAGTTAAAGTAATTTCAAATGTGGAGCTGCTGGTTAAGTTTGACGTAGGCATGAGAAAATGAAAACATCTTTGCATATATGATCATGTGTTCATGATTTCCTGACTGACCACATAGTATGGCTCCAACTTTAGTGTTTTTGTGAGGATTTTTTTTTCACAACCTTTTGGCAACAAATAATTTGTTGCAACCGCTAACATATTTAATAGAAATTCGTGACGGACTATTTGACCAAAAGTGCATTCATTTTGTTCATTGACAAGTTTAATGATTGAAAGAAAAGAAAGTAGAGTGTTGTCAGACCCTTGAAAACAAAGTGTGAGGAGTGCTGTTGCAGAAACAAGTGCACTTTTAAAATATTTCTACTGATACAATGCATAAAAAATGAATTTTTGTTTGCATAGTATTCAAACAGGGTTCACCTGACTTGGACCATATTTCATGGAACAGTGATTAACTTTCCTGGTTAAGTTAGTTTATTAAATACTATAAGCAATAGGTCAACTTTATTTTGTATGTTGAAGGGTTTAAAGTGTAAATGTCAGGCTCCCACTGACCTTGACCTCATTTTCAAGGTTCATTGGTCAAAGTTTAGTTTCCTGAAAAAGGCGGTTTCAATGAAATTAAAATAAGGTCAACTATATTTGATTATGGAATGATTGTAAGATTACATGTCTGTCTGGCAAGGTTCATCTGACCTTGGCCTTATTTTCATGGAACATTGATTATATTAAGTTTATAATGTGAAATGTTATAAAATCTAGACTCTAAATAAACTATCATGACAAACAGATCAACATATAATTCAAAGCAGGCAAGATGTGGAATGGTTTTAAGGTGTACATGTCTGCGGCAGGGTCCAGCTGACCTTGACCTCATTTTCATGATTCATTGGTCAAAGTTAAATTTTTGTCTCGCCTGTGACAAATATGAGACAGGGATAACTATCCAGTGGCGGCCTAAACTATTTGTATAAAGCTTTATATTTAGAAGATCTGGATGCTTCATATCTTGTTTGCAGATACCTTATATATGCTACAAAGTTTCCTTGACCTCATTTTCATAGTTCAGCTACTGCTTGAATTTTTTAAAAAGTTTTATGTGAAATTCTCACTTATTATGAGTCATATGATAACTGTATTTGGTAAGTGGGTTCATTGGAATGTCTACATGTCCGTCAGACAGGGTTCACCTGACCTTGACCCCATTTCATGGATCAGTGATCAAGGTTAAAGTTACATGATTAGGTACATTTCTCAGATACTATAAGCAGAAGGTCAACTATATGTGGTGTATGGAATGATGGAAAGTGGTTCATGTCAGTCTGGCAGGTTTCATCTAACTTTGACTTCATTTTCATGATTCATTGGTCAATATTATACTGACTTTTTTTCTAAACGCCTTCACATATTGACCTAAATTTTAGTATGTGAGTCAACTATGATGAGTTATAGATTGAGTTTAGGTTTGATAATGTTAAGTTTATTTGATACTTGTAGTAAAACCTTTATTTTTAATAGACTCAACATTAAATCAATCACGGTCAGTAAAGCAGGGGAGACATTTCAATGTGTGCACTTGCGTTTCATAAAAAAAACAAAACACAATAGGTCAGCTACAGTTGATTATGGATTTTAAGATAACATGTCTGTCTGGCAAGGTTCCTCTGACCTTGGCCTCATTTTTGTCGAGCCTTCGACTTTTGTCGAAAAAGCGAGACATATCGATCCAACATTCCGTCGGCGTCGTTGTCGTCGGCGGCGTCCACAAATATTCACTCTGTGGTTAAAGTTTTTGAAATTTTAATAACTTTCTTAATCTATCCTGGATTTCTACCAAACTTGGACAGAAGCTTGTTTATGATCATAAGATTATATTCAAAAGTAAATTTTGTAAAAAACAAATTCCATTTTTTCCGTATTTTACTTATAAATGGACTTAGTTTTTTTGCCAGGAAACATTACATTCACTCTGTGGTTAAAGTTTTTGAAATTTTAATAACTTTCTTAAACTATCCTAGATTTCTACCAAACTTGGAAAGAAGCTTGTTTATGATCATAAGATAGTATCCAGAGGTAAATTTTGTAAAAAAAAAAATCCATTTTTTCCGTATTTTACTTATAAATGGACTTAGTTTTTCTGCCAGGAAACATTACATTCACTCTGTGGTTAAAGTTTTTGAAATTTTAATAACTTTCTTAAACTATCCTAGATTTCTACCAAACTTGGAAAGAAGCTTGTTTATGATCATAAGATAGTATCCAGAGGTAAATTTTGTAAAAAACAAAATCCATTTTTTCCGTATTTTACTTATAAACGGACTTAGTTTTTCTGCCAGTTAACATTACATTCACTCTGTGGTTAAAGTTTTTAAAATATTAACAACCTTCTTAAACTATCCTGGATTTGTACCACACTTGGACAGAAGCTTGTTTATGATCAAAAGCTAGTATCTAGAAGGAAATTTTGATAAAATTTTGTTCCATTTTTTCCGTATTTTACTTATAAATGGACTTAGTTTTTCTTCCAGTTAACTTTACATACAGTCTGCAGTTAAAGTTTTAAAAACATTTATTAGATTCAAAAACCATCCTGGATTTTTACCAAACTTGGACAGAAGCTACTTACAATCAAAAGATAGTATAGAGAGGAATATTTTTATTAATTTTTTTTCCTCATTTTTGTTGAGCCTGCGATTAACAGCAAAAGTAGGCGAGACACTGGGTTCTGCGGAACCCTTACGAATTTTTATGGAACATTGATTATGTTAAGTTAATGTGAAATGTGTAGTGAACCTACTTAATCATATAGACTTTCAACATAAGATTCAATCATGATTGTTTGAGCAGGCTATATATTTTAGCTTGTACACAAGCACACTTGTTTGTATTGTTTATGGTCAGAAAAATGTTTTGTTAACCAAGTCCAGTCAATTGGAAAAGGATGATTGCTCTTTTTGTTCTTGAAAATAAAAATTAATTGTCTAGATCAGCTTTAAGTTGTTGTGGAGGAGTGTGAGAGCATGAATTTGCATCTCTTTTTTGTTAGATTTGTTTTGCTGCTGAATTTCTTGAAATTGTGTACCTTCTTTTCATGGCCATATTCGATGTCTGTTTTGAAAGGGTCAATGTTGATTTTTAACTTTTTTCAGTAATTTTTGTGGAGCAACACTTGATGGATCACTTGTGTTGTCTTACATTGTTGTGATTGTCAGGGTTACACCTTGTTATTCCCCAACTTATTGAAAACGCCTTCAGTGAATTCTACCAAACTACAATGTAATACAGATTCTGATACAAAGACACTCACTTGGCATTTGTTAATTAGCAATTTTTTTAAAACTGCTTGACAAAATTCAACCGAAGTTGCCCAGATACTTGACATTAAAGGGATAGTAGCTACAACTTTCATTTGTATGACAAAACAATGCTGATAATGTATACACGTATTTGTGAATTGAATTGGGGACATCTTGAAGGATACTCTGGAAGAAGAATATTTAATTGTAAGAAGTTGATTTTTAATTTCTGCTAAGTTGAGAGATCACTGCTCGTAAATTTATAAACATATTTTGGACCATAACGATTTGAGCATGTCACAATTTGTTTTCATATGATCTGGAATAGTTTAGAAATGTAAACATCTTGCAAACCTTCCTATTGCCTGCGTGACAGGTTTTTTAAGTGATTCTAATGACCGATCTCTTCGCCTTTATTTATTTTCAATTTTCAATAACTTGTCTGCACCTCTTTTCTGTTCCTTTTTCTCAAAGAAACTGTAAATACACGTTCCATTACTGCGATAACATTCCTCTGTTCGACATTTTCCCTTCAAGGGACAACGTGCAATTGCGCATTGAGAACTGCTGAGTTAAGGTCAACATAGGTCATATGAATAAGGGTTGGCTTAACATCGAATTTTTGTCTGGTAGACAAAAATTAAATTCAGTTATAAAACGTTAAAAAGCTTCTAAATGCTAAAAGGAAAGAAAACAGTGATGGTTTTATTTATACTTAATTAACTTTTTGTACAAAATCAGGCATATAGATTAAAAAAATATTTTAGTGAAAATCGTAGCTACTATACGTTTTAAGTTTTGGTCTGCTATTTGATTTTTTATCGGAGAATTTTTAGGGGGTTTACCATTCCAAAAGATGGACTGAACCATTTCTGCTTATGTTATCAAGATTTTGACTGCAGCCAACCATTCTAACTTGGAAGACTCATAGTTTTATCCAAACTTGCAAGTTTTATTATCTTAAGTTTTACTTAAACATGAAAAAAATTATTTCTACAGGTTGCATTTCTTTTAAAGCTTGAAACAAAACAGAAACCAATGAATATTTATTATGAGATTTGAAGGAATGCATAATGCAATACTTTGAACATGTTGGACAAAGATTCTCTTTGACAGGAAATTTATGTGAAGGGTCAATGGAATGATTCAAATGTTAATTTTTTTTTATTTAATTCAATTTTTTTGATGACCTCCAAATGTGTATCTTATATGTACATACGGACTAGTCAGAACTGTCTTTCAATAAGTACATTTTCCCACCTTAAAATTTAAGTTATTTTTAGCCAAATATATATTCTACACTTCAGTTCTGTTTCATTAGGTTATAAGGACCAAAAAAAAAAGTATGAAGATTTTCAAAAGATGCTAAAGTGACATGTTTCCATAATAAGCTTTATAATTTGCTTCTTTATCCGTCAGTGTTGTTCAGTATCCAAGATTTGTTTCATCACTAAGTAGAGTCAGATAATAATTGAGATTATATACAAGTTATTCACATCCCGTTTGCCTAGTCTTTAGTTTCTAAAACTGGTAGCAAATTTGGGATGACTTTCTTTGCATTAGAATAAAAAGCATTAGTTACAAGAAGACAAATCTTCAGATCTATTTTCCACTTGCCATGACATACTCATGTACAGGGTACTAACATATGTTAAACCTTACATTTATCTTTCTAAGATGAAAGGGAAAATACGATTAGGAGCCATAAATTATAAAAATCAGACATGAATGAATTAAAAGCTTGCATGATTGACTTGTAAATATTACTTTATTGTTGTACCTGGATGAACTTTGGCACTACAGATTATGCTGATTAGCCATGTGCTTTTGTCTAATTTTGATTGGCCATTGAAGGATGTCAACATACTCCAGTGTAAATACCTTGGGAGATTATTGTCATTGAAGATAATAGAAACTGATATGTTCCACTTTGATGAATGGCTTTGTTAACATATCCAATATATTATGACATTAAGGCAATAAGATTACATGCCCTTTGTATACAGTATAGTAAAAGCTTAATCTTTTGTAAATTTTGCAATTTAAACACAATATACAAGTTCATCTATTGGTACGATCCATCTTCAGTTTTTAAATTTTTTAAACAAAATGATTCTGCTCTGTATTTAACCGGGGATTCCCCATCTGAAAAAAAAGCAGTAATCCAAGGGTAAGTGGGTTTTCATAATTTGATTGTTTCTAATAAAGTCAGTAGTCCGATTTATTCATAAAATTTTACTACTGAAAGAAAATAAGAGAAAAGTAATAAAATGGTTCCATGCACATTAATGGCAATTTGTATGACTGGACATTAATGTAAGGAGACATATTTTAAACATTTTATACTTGAAATATCTAAGAAATAAAATTTTTGATTTTAAAAATATCTAAGAAATAAAATATTTGATTACACAACTGTTCATGTGGATTGTGCTTCTCCCTTGCCAATGTTGTCAGCCAACCAATGTCCTTGCAAGCATGTGCCCGGAATACAATTACTGGAACTGAAGTGAACTTGTTGTTTTTCCTGCAGGCTAATATACATTTTTAATAGTCCAAATTTAAAACTTTTATTTATAAATTTATATTTCAAACTTGTATTGACTATTAGTCACCAACCATGTTACATTTTAATCATGTGGAAGGGAGAGAATGGGTTTTTATATTGAGAAATATATTTTTGTGCAAGTGCATGTATAATGTTTATCCCTTTCAACAAAAACTGCTGCATTTTTTTTTTGTCTCATCTGTGACCCGCTAATCAGGTGGCAAAAGCATGATATATTTGTTCAAAGGTTTACATGTCAGAAGGTAGAAGACCTGGATGCTTCATACCTTGTAAATTGATGCCTTGTGTTACATTATTTCCATCCTTCCATTTTCATGGTACAGCAACTAGCTTAAAAATATATTGTTTTATAATCATGTGAATTTGTTATGAGTAATAAGATAGTATATTTAGTACATAGGATCATCTGACCTAGACTTTATTACATGAATCAGTGGTAAAGGTTAAGTTTTCATAATGAGGTCCTTAAAAACCAACAAAAAATTAAAGATGCATCATTATATATGCTGAAATGAAATTAGATAGGACTAAAACCCTAACGTCCAAACAACAAGGTACCTCAATGTAACTACATAAAATAAAATATGAACTGAGTCTATGACAAAAAGAATAAAAAGCAATTGTAATAATACACCATTGTACTTTTTGAGAACAATTCATCCGATTCTCAGAATTACTTAATTTATAAGTGGACATCATGAATACTGTAAAATCAGAAATTTTGACATGATTTTATTATTGCGAAAATTATAATAGGAAAGGTTTTGCAAGAAAGTCTCATTTTCGATTTTGATAATATTTCTATGCATTATTTCCTGATATCACAATAATTAGTTTTGCATTTGTGTCCATTGTTCAATAAAAAATAAATGCATGCAAAAATTTCTGAATTTATATTATTGAAGTTGACATATATATAATCCAATTAATATCCCTAATATTTTGATTTAATAAGAGGTAATCCAGGAGATATTGATAGTCATCATTAATTTACCGATCACCACCACTGAAGGTTGCACTTCTGTAAATATAGACAATGCGAATTCCCATAGGAACTCCCTTTGCGGCTAAAGCTGTGCCACTTTTACTATGAAGTTTCGTAAAAAAATTATATCCTAGTATGGAAAGTTGATATGCACTACTTTTTTATTCAAAGGTCAAAACATAGGGCTGTGTGGCATATTTTCAACGTTTATAACCCGAACTTATAAGAGTTTAAACTTAAACTAAAATTCTGTACTACCCCTACCTTCATTTTGGGTCTTTCTGAGAATTCAATGTGTTTTTATACTGGTAACATTCCCAAGTTATTTCTCTATGAGATGAAACATAGAGATCATATCTGGGAACCAGTACGTAAACAAATCAAAATATCTATGAATATTGTATATCTCCCCAAAAGAGGCGGGGCTTGTGAAACAGCTGTATTTCCAAAGTGTACCGTAACCTGAAACTATTACTTATTTAGGTTTGAAACTGTAGAACTGGGGCATTTCTTAGGGATGTTCACCAGTTAGTTAGCGTAACACCAATGTCAATTATTTGTTAGAAATAACTGGACAAGCTGAAAAGATGTAATGTCCAGCATAACTAGAAGTAAATGTTGTGTTGGACTTCATGTAGTGATGCCAGCAGACATTGTTATAGAGTTTACTTTTAATTTATGATTTAATTCTTTTATATAGGGTGGACCTGATGCAGGTCAACAAAGGTCAAGTTTTTCTCCGAATTATTCCATGATGCCTAACCAATATAGCCCAGGACAGTTTTCACCCAACTCCAGATTTGGTATGACAGGAACGCCAAACAGACAGAATGCTGGTTACAATAACCAGGTATGTATTGCGTATTTAGGTTGGCATGTCAACTGATTGTTTCTATTATTAGATTTACAGAATTGTCACACAATTTAGATAAATTTTATTTGACATGTATTTTTAAAGAAACAAATCATGTCCAAGTGAAAACAGATTTATGGAAAGCATTGAAAAATTCAGCTTCAACTGATAGAAAATTTGTACATGTAACTCAATTGACTGAATTTTATTTATTATTGATTTGTCATGTAGATCATGGAAGTACTATTTAATGTGTCTTGGTCATGTATGTTAGCTATGGTGACAACAGAGAATAACAAATGCCAAGTATCTCTTGAGGACTAGTACTTTAATTTTAATGTTAATTGACTGTCATGTGCAAGAACCAAAATAAAGTTCAGTCTCATTTTTATGCCCCACCTTGGGGCATTATGTTTTTCGGTCTGTGCGTCCGTCTGTCCCTCTTCAGGTTAAAGTTTTTGGTCAAGGTAGTTTTTGATGAAGTTGGAAGTCCAATCAACTTGAAACTTAGTACACATGTTCCCTATGATATGATCTTTCTAAATTTTAATGCCAAATTAGAGTTTTGACCCAAATTTCACGGTCCAATGAACATAGAAAATGATAGTGTGAGTGTGGCATCCCTGTTCTATGGACACATTCTTGTTAATATCAAAATTAGGATCAGTCTCTTCTTTATTATAAAAATTAGGCTCAGTCTTAATTTTACTATCAAAATAAATATTTTAATTTTCCTTTCTATAAGAGGCTGCATATGACTTGTATAGCAGATTTTCAAATGTGCCTGATACACTTCTGGGTTATTTTGTTGAAAAAAATCATATTATGCCCATATGAAAAAATTGAAATAATATTTATCCCTGCCCGGTTTGATTTGCAAAATTTTCTTGGTATATTTGTTATTCTCTGGTTACATGTGTCATGTCATTGATTTTAAATATGTCAGTGGACTCTACATATGAAAATCTAAAAAATACTAAAATGTTTTGAATTCTCGAGCAATACGAATTTCTTCAATCATTCCTGCAACTTTTCAATAAGCTCCTTTTGATGTAACCCATATATGCATATAAATTTTAAAGAAATAAAAGATCACATTTAAAAAAAAAATTTGGGTTGCTATTTCTAATGCAGTGATGACAATACTTAGGACACCTAACGAAAAATAATGATTAAACTCAAGCGTTACCATATCTGAGCATTAGGAGTAGAATAAGTGGCATGATTAGATGCACAAAAAACATAACATTTAAGAACAAAAAAAAAAAAAGAAACAAATTGATAAGGTTTTTGTTGTGCGTAGATGGGACCACAATATGGTCATCAGCAACCATCCTCCGACCAATACGGATATGCTTCTACGCCATCACAACAGTATCTTCCTCCGTCTTCTCAATCGTATATGCCTCATACTCCATCTCGACAGCATACTCCATCCGGACCCACACCACCACCATCATCAAGAATATCACCAGCACCATCAGACTCATCAAACTCTCAACCACCAGCTCTTTCACCAACTCCATCCAGACAACAGACCTCACAGACACCACCAAGTTCAGGGCTGCAACAACCCACCAGTCAACAACCTAGTCCAGCAGTAAGTTTTTTAAGTGTATTAATTAAGAACCTTAAGAAGTTGTAAGTTGTGACTTCTCATTTGGAGGGGGAATCTGGGTTTAAGGTGTTTTCTTCTGATATAATTAAAAACCATCATAAGAGACTAATACCATATCAAATAATGTATTGTATTTTCAGGCTGAAAAGTTACACATACTTAAACAGTTTCCCTGGCAAAAATAAATCCAGTAACCCCTAGAGATTTTCATAGTGAAATGTTCGCCTCTATTTATTTACATGCTTTACATTTAAAGATGTAGTTCATAAACTTTTAATTGATTGGATCTTTGATAATATAAATCCTACATATATCATTTTCTCACTATTCAGATGCAGCTCAACATTTTCTCACTATTCAGATGCAGCTCAATGAGTTCTTAATCATACCAAATTTCATAAAAATCAGAAATTTTACCCGATTGAATTATGTATACTTCGCCTTAATGACCAATATCACAGTGTATCATAGTTTAATGATGACTTGATATAAAATAGGCCATAGTTTGAAATTTTCACATCAGCATTCTTTTTATGTCAAAATTAGGGCTGTTCCACAAAAGACATACATGTACAGTTGACCCGTGGAAGGCATTTTAAAATCTCAAATATGGGTTGATTCTTTTTGTTCAGGTAAATTGCAAGTGATGTTCTAAAATTGCCTCTATAGGTGGTTATCTGATTTTGAAAGTGCCTTATCCTGGTAACATGTATGCTTTAATGGAACAGCCCATAGCACTTATTACACTTTTCCACCAATTTTAAGAAATAAGACAAATTCTCCTTGGTATATAAAAAAAAATGAAGCATGACTTCAAAAAAGATCTTTTTAAACAGTATGTTTGTTATAAAAAAAAATACCTATCTAATGTTTATTTTGGTGAACCCTGTGCTCTATATTTCCTAGGCCTAAATGTGGTTGAAATCCCAAAAAATTTTGTTCAACTTTTTCCAAAATGTCTATTTTTGGCATATTCCTGGGAGAATTGCAAAGCTCATGAAAATAATGACAAAAATTGTTCTTGCCTCACTTTTTCGCATGTTTATGCATCAACTTGAACTAATGGTCTTAATAAGGGCTCAGATTAGGGCCCATACTGCCCCTACACCTGTTTGGTTCTGTAGCAGTGTGAGCCTAGGTACTGTAAACCAACTTATTTTCTCAGATATTTTTATTTAAGAAATTTCATGCCATGCTCTGTGCTCATTTTAACTTGATAATATCTTTATACTGAGTGAGCGTCAGCGAGGTGTAAAATGTTCAAAAATATAATGCCTACTGATGTTACAGTTAAAACAAGCATTTAGCATGGCATGATAGATTTATTACAATTCTTCAAATGAAATAGGAAAATTCAGAACTCTAGTACTTGGAAGGGGACCTATAAACACATTCGAACGGCAGCCATTTTGATGTGATGGAAGCCTAAACAACTAGAAAACAAACTGTTTCATGATTTAAGAATGAATTGGAACATGAAAACTTATAAGAATGATATTATTTAATTTCCTACTTAGCAACACCAACAAAAATGTCCAATTTGATCTATAGCATTGTTCAAAATATGATTGTGGTTGCAATTTTTGTTGTGATGTCAAGCACATGCAACCTAAGTTCTATTGGAATGAGAACATGGCTTTGTTATCAAAGTGTAAGACTTTGCTACGATTAATTTCACGATTTTCCTAACAATGTTGATGTATTCTTACAAGAGAAGATCCTAATTTTCAATATTCTGTACAATTTGGTTAACAGTGATATAAATTGAGCCTGATTTTAATGAGTTTAGCAATTATCTTAACCTTTCTTATGAGTTACCAATATGCATGAGCATTTTGAGAGAATAATGGACTATTCTTTCCTTTTCTTATCATTTAAATTTTGATATATTGTTAATTTTAACACCATTTTCATTAAAAAGTGCTTTCCTCGGCAAACAACCAGATAAAGTATGAACAGCAGAAAAGTTGTCAAAATAGCTTACAATTTCCTAGATTTTGAACACCCCCTCCAAGTCAAGTGGTAGGAATAGTTTCTTTGTCCATCCTCTCAGACGAGTTAGTAATGTTCAAATGTCTGAAACCATCCAATGAATTCCAGGCTCACCGTTGTACACTATTTCAGGGGAGTAATTCAAGTTGGAGTGGAACTAACAACAGTAATACAAGTAAAAGAAATGGGGAAGACATTGAAATGACAGGGGTAAGTTCCTTAAAATCTCTTTACTAAAACATCTTAAAAGGCAGGTTGGTAAACTAGTTTTTCTTTTCTTATTTAAAAGCTTGCATGCAAAAAATGCTGCTTAGTTCACTAGGTCAACAGACATGTATGTATTTTACCTGAGAGCAGTAGATTGACTTCCCCTCTGCACTAAGACAAAAACAAATCTTCCTGACTGTCAAACTGAATTAAAAAAACACCGTTGGGTAGACAAAAGTCAGAGAGATGCAGAGTTTTGAAAACTGACTTCATGAAAGATGTATTTATATCTTAAAATGGTTGAATGACAGAGTATATGAATTGCAGATTAAACAATTGAAATACTGGCGAAAAATACTGAAAATAAAAATCCAAGTTGTAGAAAATCTTCGAGTCATATTTTGCTGACAATATGTTTTAAATGTAATCTATTGTTGTTAGCATATTGCCTCCTCATCAACTGTTGACAGTTGTATGGAACTTGAAGGTAAGAAAATATGAAAATAATTCCAAAATGTAAAATGGAGCTAGTAACTTGGAAGTGAAAAAAATTCATTGGTACGGAAGGCCACACAAAAAATAAATTTCCTGGTTCTTAAGGAAATATTTGATCATAATGGATCAGAACGTTTGTTTAAGTAAGACAATTTATGACTGAGGCATTGAAAATAACTCTTGTAGCCTCTGTTATGTGTTGGTTCAATAGATTTGTAAGTAACAAACCATTTATAGAAGAAAGTGCTCTTGATGCCCTTACCAAATGGTTCAAGCACCACTGTGGTGATCTTCATTATTACTTGAAAAAGTATTTATTACCATAAAAAAATATTGGCCAATTATGATAGATTTAAGACCTCTCTGGAGACAAATGATTAATCTGTAAAGTAATTTGGGCAAACCATCTCATTAGCATGATTGTTGGTTTGCAAGCCACTTTCAGCACTCTGGGTTGTATCATGTCCACCAGTTTTATTGGTGGAGGAAGCTGGATTACCCAGAGAAAACTTCCTACCTTCAGCATGATGAGCAATCTCATTCGATTTTACATAGGAGTCAAATCAGCTATACCACAAGTGGGATCTAACTCATAAGCTTAGTTTTGACTGGCTCGTAATCACTATAGATGAACAACTTGGATAACTCAGCCACTGAGACTCCCTTAGTCTCGTTACTTGTTAAAACCAATGCTTTGATATCCTGCAGTACACAGTGTCCCTGCTATTGTTTTTGTCCTAGGGTTTCTCTGGTAGTTCATCATTCCCATGGACTGCTTATCGATCAGATTTCTTTTTAAAAAAAATTATCAAAAGGTTAAGGTTGTTTTTTTGGTTGACACAAAAAACAAATATTGAATTTTGAAATTGCATATATTTTATAATCCATTGTACTCAGTTGACATCAAAATTTCCTCAGAGGACAAGATTTATTTTCAAGATGTCATTAAATTTATATTGTTATTGAAATGCACGCTGTAAATTGCATAACTAATAAAGCTGTAGTTGATATGATTAAATATAGTTTTAAGGTAGATGGGGGGTCTATATCAAAATCCATAACTTTTTTAATAGTTGGCCAAAATGTAGTTTATATCATGCTTTTTATGCCCCCGCCGAAGCGGAGGGGGCATCAAGTTTTACCCTTGTCCGTACATACGCCCAGAAATTGGTTTCCGTTCTCTAAGTTTAGTTTACCTCAACCAAATGTTATAAAACTTATACACAATGCTTATTACCACAAAACACAGATCAAGATTGAATTTTGGTGGCTTCACTTTAACCGTTCTAGAGTTATGCCCCTTTACAAATGGAAAAATTGCTGAATTTTTTGTTTCCGTTCTCTTACTTAAGTTTGCCTCAACCAAATGTTATGAAACTTGTACACAATACTTATTACCACAAAGCTCAGATCAAGTACAAATTTGGGTAGTGTCACTTTTACTGTTCTTCAGTTATGCCCCTTTATAACTTTATATGATATGCAAGCGGGGGCATCATCTGTGTCCCATGGACACTTTCCCCATTTATTTCAAAAAAATATAATGAAAAGTATGGTTCAAAGGGCTTTTATTCAAGCTACAAATTGGGCAAAATTGTCAGATTTTGTAAAGATTATACATGGCGAACCAAATTTTGTGTGATATAAAGAAAACCAAATGATAGAATTTAATCAATAAAATTATGAGAAGGTTGATCTTATTATGTGCTTGGGACTAGTTTTCCTGCTGTAAAACAAAATAGGTAAATTCATAAAACATTCCTTTATAAAAGTTACATTAGCTGAATTATCTCCCCTTATATGGCAAAGTTGAAAAGAATTGAATCAAAGGAAATATATCCTCGTCTCATGGGTTTTCCTGCTATTAAGAATGCATTGTGATGTCACAATTTCCATTGAAAAAGCATGCATAGTACGATTTCATATGAGGTACGAAAACATATGATCTGACCATATTCTGTATTTAAAAAAAAAATAATTTGATAAAAAAAGGTTGCACATAATTTTCATCTTTAAGATGAAATGTCTTACAAATTAATTACATTCATCTTTCAAAAATTTGCACATTTCATTAAAGATCTAGACCAATTGTTTTCTGCTATTTTACAATCCAAGGTGGCAGAAGACACCAGATCTACCTTAATTACACTTTCCTTTACCCAATATCAAGTTCTCAAAAAGTACCAACCTTTTGTCAAAAAATAGAAAACCTCATGCATCTAGTGTTTAAGGGAGTTAGAATTGAAAATTAAAGGCTTCTACTTACAAATCTAATGATGTTCCTTGTTGCCCATAGAAAAGTATTCTGAACCTTTCAATTTCTACCAGGCGCACTGACAAGCTAGTAATTACCCATCATGGTATGTCTTTAAATGACACTTTTAAACAGGATTTTACTGGAAATCTATACTACTAAAGGAAGAGAACGATTTCATTGAGCCGCAACTCCTCTGAAACCATACAAAGTCGGAAATTTTTGTGATATGACGTATAAATGTAGTATTTTGTACTTCCTAAATTTGTCTTTGAAACAATCTTTTTTCCACAGAAAACGCAAATTTTTGAGAAAATATCCAAATTCCGAGGACTGTTATCGATCTGTGTCTTATACGCTTTCGGGCATGCTCAGTCGACGTACTGCCCGTGAAATCCAAGTGAAAGTAAGAAGAAATGATAGAAAATAGGACAGTTAGGCCTATAAGGATCCTGTATTGTATTGTAAGGGCATCATTTTGCTAAATTAAACGACCAACCCTTTTTACTCAGGTGCAGAACTGTCCAAAAATGAAATGGGCGTTGAACATGTCGAAGTGATCCTCCCCCCTTTTTATGTGTAATCACAGGCCCCCGACATCCAGACCCCTCCCCCCTTTTTATGTGTAAGCACAGGCACCCTTGACACTCACTTGCTGAATTGTACCGTGATTTGGCGTGCATCTTCTAATACTTCTAAACTTGAGCACTTTGTGACTTGTATTTAAGACAACTGTTGTTAGTGCAGGTAGCTATATCCTGTGGATGTTGGCCTCTTCTTTGTTCCCTTGGGATGGTACTTCTTGAAAGTGTAAAAAGCATGTTTTTTACCTTTGTTATTTGTATGCCCCTACCGTCACAGGAGGGTGCATTAAGTGTTACCCCCGGGGTTTTTCTAGGTATTTTGGGAAAAAGGACCCAGGCCAGTTTTGGGAATTTTTTACATGATTTTCAATGAAATTGGGAAAAAACAAATATTCCAGATGTGAGTTTTAGTGTGCTTAGTTTATTAGAAATTATCTTTTTTTGAAAATAAAGTAAGAAACTACATGATTGCTGTTTATAATTTTATTTTCTGTTCTTCTTGTTTTTAAACTTGACAAGGCAATCAAGTTGATTTTAGTATCAAAATATGTAATTCTTAAAGCACACATATGATAAAAATTTACCGCCTTTTTTATCTTCAGAGGCAGTAACAGTTAATATAATAAATAATTCAGGGATAGAAATAAGATTTATTTAAATGGCCAAGCGGGCTAACACTTTTCTAAATTCACTTGCTCTTCCAGATTTTTATTTGTCCTTCAAAATTGAGAAGAAATTACCTCTTGGATCTGTATTTATATGTTTACGTTATAAAAACATCCAATATCAACATTTTTTAGTGATAAATAAAAGTAATGTCACATTTTATTGGATTTTGACATGAAAATTTTTGAACTAAAATAATTTTTGTGTTTCTGTATAGAATATTTCCTGTTTCTTCTTTTTCATATATCTTTTGGTTTTCAATTCTAGTGTTTATATTTTATAGCTATATTTTGTCACCTGCCTGGAATTTTTTTTTTTTATTTATTTATTGTATTTGATCGGCAAACCCAGAATTAGCCTAATCTGATCCGGTATTGTATTATCTACATTTCCGGTTTATGGCGGCCATTTGTCGCAGTTGTTGTTGTCAGTCAGATGTGTTTTTACTCAGTTTTACACATTACTTGTTGGCGATTTTCAGCATAAAGCTAGCGAACATCAGTCATGAATAATATAGATGAAAATGAATTTGAGATTGTTTGGGAATTTTTCCTCCCAAAATTGGGGAAAATATAGGGTTTTTGCTATTGGGAATAGGTCTGAATACCGGACCCTGTGGAATGCTAGAAAAATCCATGTACCTGTGTCGTCCCGAAATTGGTTTCCATTCTCTATAACTTAAGTTTGCCTCAACCAAATGTTATGAAACTTTTACACAATGCTGATTACGACAAAACACAGATCAAGTTGGAATTTGGGTGGCGTCACATTTGTCGTTCTCGAGTTGTACCCCTTCATAAAGTTATATGGAAGCGGGGGCATCATCTGTGTCCCATGGACACATTCTTTATTTATTTATTTTTTTAGAATAATCCCCATTTTGTTAATGAGCTAATAGGATGTCTGACAGCCTACAAATAATAATAATATGCCTGGATCTATAGCTTTTAAAACCTATTTTCAAATTTCATATCATACATCAATTGATTCAAGTTTCTGGTTCA